TATAAATTTTTATTAAATTTTGAAAAATTTTTATTATATACATGTGTTCATTTTTTACCAAAAATAGGATTTACCATACAGATCATAGTAAAAATGATCTACGTACACTCTACCCTTAAAAACAAAGGAAAAGAAAAAATAGTATATAAAGAAAACAAAATAGAAGGAAAAGCGCAAACAAAAAATACCACTATAGAAGTAGAAAAGGAAGAAAATGATACAAGATATCAAAGAAATGAAGAAAATAGAGAGAGAAGTATTCTAAAGGAAAAGAGAAAGTGATACTATAATGAGGAGAGTAAAGGCCCAGAATGCTCAAAAAAAAGAGAGTTGAACCAAGAAGGACCTAAAGCGAGTACAAGCAAAGAAGAAAAGGCAATAACAATGTAGGATATTCCATTACATATTTCAAGAACTCAAGTATTTAGAGCAGTAATGTACATAGGAAAAGTTGCAAATATCAAGATGATTCAAGAAGGCTATATGAAAATAAGAGCAGAAATCATATTTGAAGAATTGAGAATAAACAATTAAGAAAAAGAAGTCTGAGCTATACCATTACTGAACAATGTACTAGTTTGTATCACACTAGGACTAAATAGTAGAGAAGTTCTTGAAAGCCAAAAACTACATATGACAAAACTATATAATATCCTAAGAGAAGCTAATAAAGTACTTCTGTTTAGACAAATTAAGCACATAGGAGCAAAAACGGTACATATCTTCAAAAACACAAATGGAAACAATAAAGAATTCGCCATTGTTTCATTTAAAAGTAAAGAAGAGTTAGAGCAAGCAAGAAGATATAGTATGCAATATTATGACACAAGACTCTTCTGAGAAAATACAGAGGCTAATGCTAATAAAAAATCACACGATAGAGTAAGACAAAAGAGAATGAACTTGGAGCAAGAATAGAGAAGCAAGTGGTATGAACAAAGTAATATAATTAAAAAAGAAGATATAGCCAATAGCTACGAGAATAGAAAACAGTATAATAAGAAAGAAAGTATACAGAAAAAAGAAGAAGAAGAAGCTAGCAAGAAGAGAAAAACTGAAAAGAGCAATAGATAGATAAGCAATATAGAAAGCTAAGAAAATGATAACATGTTAATAGCATACATAGTTCAACTTATTCATGGATTAGAGGAAAAAGTAAGTAAGTGAGAGCAAAATGCTCCTAACTACTCCTAAAAGTAGCTAAGGTCCAACTACAGGATGCCTGTATAACTTATGAAGGAAAACTTAAGTATACAGAAAGGGCATATAGTATACTAAACCAAAGTGTTAATAGAAAGACAAAGGAGCAAGAAGAAGAGTTAAAGAGAAGTAAAGATAAAGAAACGAAGTATGCATAGAAAAGAAAAATCAAATTTGGAATGCACAATATTAATAGAATAAAAGAAGACATGTTAAAGTTAGAACGGTTAGCAGATTATTGTAGTGAAGAATAATTTAACCTAGTAGGTATTGTAGAAACAAATATAAGTGAAAAAGAAGACAAGTGGTTTGATACAGAAAATGAATCATACAAAAGTTTTTGGACGAATACAGAAGAAGATAAGAATAAAAGATCAGGAATTAGCTTTCTAGTAGACTAGAACTGGCTTCGACATATGGGAGTATGCAAGAAATTTAGTCTTTATCTTCTCAAAACAGAGTTCTATTTTAGAAAAGTTATAATACAGGTGTGAGTTTTGTATATACTATCTAAAAATGAAAAAGTAGCCAAAGAAGTACACAAGATAATCATAGAAGAGCTTATTAAAAATAAGAAAAATATATATAGCATAATAATAGGAGACTTCAATACTGTACTCAATTATGATCTAGATACTAGTAGCAGAGAAAAATGAGCAAAAGATGCAAATACAAAAATCATAAAATAGCTAAGCAATTTAAATTATATTGAGTCATTTTGCTTCTGCAACCCAAGTTCTACTAAGTTTTTATGGACAAATGGTAATATAGCAACATGAATTGATTACATATAGTGCTATCAAGATTTAAAGCCATTCATCGTAGAAAGGGATATTGATAGCTTAGAAACAATAACGGATAGTGATCATAGTATAGTATAGATGCAATTAGATAGTATTGACCTATTTGAAAAAAAGCAAATAAGAATTAAGAAAAGCTAAGAAGAAACAAGAAGAATCTATTTGTACCACAAGGTAACAAAAGAAGATTGGGAAGCATATAGCTAAAGAGTAGAACGTTTACTGATAAATGCAAAAAAAAAGTAAAGAAAACAACAGCATAGATTACAGAATATAAAAAGTAAAAGCATTGATGAGAACTAGGAAATTGTAGCTAGAGCGATAACAACAGCTGCAAATGAATGTATACTATCAACAAAAATATCAAACACAAATGCCAGATAAGAAAAGAAGCGTCTAAGTCAATATTATATAATAGAGCTAAAGTATTAGATAAACTATATAGAAAAGGTATAAAGAATCTAGAAGAAAGTACAGACGAGGTTGAAAAATTGTTATATAATGCATGTATTAGACAATTAAATGATAAGTACAATACACAAATTCCTGAGCTAGTAGGCAAATGGAATAAAGAATAGTATAAAGAGATAAAAGATTGATAGAACATACTAAGAAAAAAGCTAAAAAAGAAGTAAAGACAGAAAAAGAAAAGGAAATTAGAGATTATATCGAGAGAAGGTTCACAATAGATGTAGCAAAACTAAAAAAATACTCAATAGTTTGCTAGAGAGACACCATAGCAAAATAGTATTAGACAAAGTACTAATCAATAGCAAGGGTAAGTTTAAAAA